GCGTCCCACCGACCAGGTAGGCCTACAGGGGGCAGCACTGAATGCCGCGAAATATGAATAGTCAGGCAGACGGCTAGGCTGTGTGCTCTGACAGTACAGGGTGTCTACATAACCCACCCACCCAATCTACTCAGTTTTATCCAACCTTTTTTAAAGCTACACAAGTTCTGGCCTCTATAAAGGTACTTGGGAGTTTGTTCCACCATCCCCAATCTATACAAACCCTACTTTTTATATCCTTCCTGAACTGAATTTTTTCCAACTTTAAAACCATTGCGCGAGTCCTGTCTAGGTAGATATTTTCGGCAACTATTTACATCCCCTTTTTTTTTATTCCTGTCTTCCTTTTATAACCTCAACCATCCCCCCTAATTCTCCCGTCTTTTGGGGAGGGGCCCCATTTTCAGGCCTTAGTCCTATCCTATGGGGAAAGGGTTTTCTGTACATGGGATCAACTTTGTCACCTCCTTTGTACATTTTCCAGGGGAATTTATTTTCCATTTTGTAAAATACGGTGCCCCAAAACGGCAGATAATCTAAATGGGGCCAAACCCCAAGGGAGGGAAATAGAGTTGAAGAACAACCTGGGGAAACCCATTATTTATGCTTTTTGTTTGGGAAACCCAAAGGGATTCTATTGGGCTTTTTTTGCAAAACACTTATGCACTGTTTCTGGTTTCAATTACTCCCTAACCAGAACTCCTAAACTTTTTGGGCAATCCGTAAATTTTAATATCTACATTTTTTTTGTTATATTGGCAGGGTTTTATTTTTTCTGCCCAAAATTTTTTTTAAAAACTTTTTTTTGCATTTGTCTAAAATTAAAACGCTCTGCCATTCTCCGACCACTGCATAAATCTATTCAAATTTCCGGGAGTGCTCGGATGCCCTCGTCGAATAAAATTCGCGGCCTATTTTGGTTTTCATGGGCAAACTTGCCGTTGTCACTCTTTTATCCCCCTCATCTAGTCGTTTATGAAAGATTGTGAAACATCAGGGGGCCCAACACTGCCCCCCGGGGAACCCCGCTCATGAAAACCCCCCACTCTGTTTTTCTCCCCATTTTACCCAAACTCCCCTGCTGCCTTTTTTGTCAACCAGGGCCTCACCGGAAAAAAATTTTTCCCCCTTTCCTATTCCATGTGTTTTAAATTTTTCCTCAATAGCTTGACTTTTTGGGACCCTGTAAAAAGGGCCTTACTGAAGTCCATATCCACAAAAATCATATTCTTTAAACCATGATCTCCTCCTCAAATCCCTTTTAGTGAAAAAATTTAAAAAAATTGGGTAAGGCAGGAACCCCCCTTTTGAAAAACCTTTGCTGAGATTCTTTGATTAATTTTCCTTTAAAAGGTGGCTACGAACTGCCTCGGCAATTATTGATTCCTTAAATTTTTTCCCAAAATGGGGGGTTGGGTTTTAATTGGGGTCTATAGTTCAAAGCAAAGGGGACCTGTCCCCCTTTTTTAAAAATAGGTATCACCCTTTTTTATTTTCCACTTATCTGGCCCCATGCCAGTTTGTAGTTTTATATGTTAAAAGATTAGCCAAAGGTGTGCTAAGCTCCTCTTTAAAATTCCTTTAGAACCCTTGCATACAGTTCATCAGGGCCTGGGGATTTGTTAGGTTTTAATTTATCTTTTTTACCTAAGGACCATGTCACTTGTGACCCTAATAGTGCACAGTTTATTATCGTCCTGTTCTACATAATTTATCATTACTGGAATATCGCTGGTATCCTCCTGTGTAAAAACTGGGGAGAAGTATGTGTTAAAAATTTCCTACACATTTCCTTATCACTGTCAGTGAGCTGACCCGAGGAACTTTTGAGTGGGCCTATCTTGCCCCTGATCTTACTTCTGTATACCTGAAAGAATCCTTTTGGGTTAGTCTTCGATTCTCTTGCAACTTTAACCTCATAATCTCTTTTTGCTTTTCTAATTCCCTTTTTTATTTCTCTCTTTAACTGAATTTTATCGATTTCTCAATTGCCCCTCTCCTCTTTTGATTTGCCTATATATGCCTCTCTTTTTGACCAATCAGATATTTAATCTATTGTTCATCCATTTAGGATCATTTTTGTTTGATCTGATTTCCCTATTTGGAACATAATTTGCCTGAGCAGCTAGAACTATGCCCTGGAAAGCATCATATCGGCAACCATCCCCACCTACCTGACCCTTAGTCAGGTCATTCCAGTTCAGCCCACCTAAGTAATTTTTCAGTCCTATGAAATCAGCCAAGCGAAAGTCAGGGACGGAGACTTGATTGCCATTATTAGGGGAATTTCCATGATATATTAAAACTGAGTGATTTGTGAAAAACTTTCCCAAGCTCACCCAATAACCTCAAGATTATTAATTAGTGTTTCCCTACTGGCAAGAACCAAGTCAAGGAGGTTTTTTTCCCCTAGTTGGCTCTGTCACAAACTGTTTTAAAAAACAATCCTGGATCGAAATCAAGAAAGTCACCTGACTCTAAATTTCCTGTCAAATTGCTCCAGTCAATCTGTCTATAGTTGAAATCTCCCATTAGCACAACATTTTCGTATGTAGATGCCTTACGAATTTCGTCCCATAGAAGTTTACTGCACTCCCTATCAAGATTTGGGGCCCTGTAAATCACACCCAAAATTAGTTTTTCTCGGCCCTCGAGAAGCTGTAACCAAACAGATTCAGTGGCTGACGCTTCTAATTTAATATCTTGTCTAACACAACAATTTAAATTGTCTCTGACATACATCGCTACTCCACCACCTTTCCTGTTGACCCTGTCAGTGTGACATTCAGAGGGCATCTCTCTATCTTTCAGATTGAGCCAGGTCTCTGTTATAGCAGTAATATCTATGTTTCCTGCACTTGCAATTAATCTTAGCTCATCTATCTTATTTCTTACACTCCTGCTATTAGTATAGTAAACCTTAAGGGAGCTAGTCCCTTGCTGCCCTCTGCTGTACCCCTTTGTTTGCTGACCTGATCTATTGTCTTTATTTATAACTTCATGCTGAATGCCTTTTATACATTTACTGTTTCCAACCCAAGTGTTGCAACCTGCTTGTTTCCCACACACACCCATACCTCTATCTTCTATCAGTTTAAAATCATAGGCATTTCACCAATGGCCTTCTCAATCGAGTCTGCAAGTGCTACCACCCCAGCCCCAGAGAGATGTACCCCATCCCTTGCATACATATCATGTTTGCCATAAAAGTTGTTTTCCAGTTGTCAATGAAGGGGATTGCAATTTCCCTTTGCGGGATCTGTCTAGCCAGAAATTTTTACCCCAAATTGCCCTAGCCCAACCATTCATTTCCTACCCCCCTTCTGGAAGATGATACATTTTTGGGATTGGGATCCCTCCCTTAGCCCTTAAATTTAAATCTTTAGTGACCTTTTAATTATCTAGAAACCCTTTTTTCCCCCTCCCCTTTCCCCAATATCATTTCCCCCCAACACGAGACAGATGGGGGGCTTTTTTCCCATTCCCGGGACATGATTTATCCACCCTGTTGACAATGTCCCCAACCCCCAGCTCCGGGGAAAGGGCACCTCTATCTCTCTTTTTCTTTTTCCTATTAAAAAAAAGCACGGTCCCAATATATCTTTTCCCGAGAGTCATCAACCACAAGAATGCGCTTTACCTCCATTAGGGAGGGGCGTAAGTACCCCCTTTCTTCACTGGCCACTGAAAATACATTCCTCCCGAAGAACAGAGAAGCGATTTTTACCTTCAAAATCTTCACTCTTAACTTTTCCCCTTTCTCTGGGTTTCGCCTTCCAATACTGTGAACCACTCGCCAACCCTTTTAGGTGCGGGGCTTTCCCCCTCTGCGTAGCCGTTGTACCTCCCCAACTACCCCTCCCACACGAGAGACAGAAAGGGACCTCACCCTTTTTAAACCCCATTCCCCCAACTCCAGGCCCACCCTCACAATCTTTTCCCAGCTCCCCCTTTAGGGGGGACCTTCAGCCCCCCTAATCCTCCTGGAGAAGCAAACCCCTCCTTCACTCTCCAACCTCAATTTTTAAAACACTGCAAAAAGCAAAACCCTGCTTTTTAACCGTCCACACAACCCCAAAACAGTTAGGGTCTGTGACCTCACGTGAAAGGGTGACCACTGAGGGTGCCCACTGACCCCACCCCCCCCAATGACGATGCCACTCAATACACTCCCTCCAATTTTTTCCCAGGCCAACCCCCCCCCCTCCCCTCATCTCAAATTTATTCACTCTCCCAAGTCATTCTATTTTGTTTTTTTTTCCTTCTAAAATGTCTGAACCACCCAACCAATCCCCCCTCGCCCTCTGGTTAAAAAGTTTTTTTTGGGAATCCTTTCACCTCCTCCCCCAAATTTTTAAAATAAGAGTTCCCCTATTATATTCCAAAACCATGCAATGCCCCAGACAAAAACTCCACTGGCCCCCCGCCTTCTCCTTGTTGCAAACATTCACCACTCATGGTTTTACACCCCTATATGGCATTAGTATAGAAATAGGGGACGCACATGCAGGGTGTATCCAATTTGGTTTAATATTAAAAACCTATTGACCATAAACTCAGACACCACAAAATTTTTCTGTTGTTTGGAAAAAAAATGCTTGTTTTTACAAATTACATTCTTTGGGAACACTAAACTTGCCTGTCCCAAATGATTTGGGAAAAAGGCGGCCCTTTAGGCCCTTAAAAAACCCAAAGAAAAAGGGGAAAACCCGGGCAAATTTTATGGATTAAAAGCTTTCACTGACTTCAAAGGAAAACCCTCTTGTAAGGTTTAAATTTCCCAATAAATCCAAACAAAATAAGGATGAAAACACTAAATCAAGTTTTCTGTTTCTTTTGGGCCTCATTAAAAACCAAAAGGTTTTTAAATCACACCCAACCTTGTATTGGGTTTTTTAATATCTAATTTTTAGGTTAATTTTTGAATTTTTACCAGCCAACCAAGGCTTAAGGGTATATTTTCATTTTTTTTTTCTTTACATGGGGGGCCTTTTCCTCAGGGTGGCAATGGTACTGATTGGGCTTCTCAAAGCACCACTTTACGTTGAGAATGTCCTCGCCGATGTCATCTTCAAGTCTATCACTCTCAAAACCATTCATGGGCGGAGGTATGCTTAAATCTCCACCATTTATTTATTTATTTATTTATTGCTTCTAAAACATTACACTAACATCATTATTACATTCCTGGGTAGTTCTAAGCCTGTAGGGATCATAATGCAAATGGTCATTGGCAGAAGTACATAATCGGTCCAGGAACTGGGCTGCAAAGTTTGATAGCAAATAATCACACTTTATGAGAGAGGGGTCATTCCAGTTCATGGGGGAAGTGCTGAACCCATAGGGGTCATATAGTGCCTGAGAAATGGGAGTTAGTAAGCTTTCATTCAAGGGACTGGAGATCAACTCTAATTCCTTGGATTAAAATTACAGTATATTCATTGGGGAAGATGAATAACCCTTTGGAAATCATGCAGCACCTGAGAAATGGGAGGTAATCTGATTTGATTCAAGGTAAAAGAATAACTCTAATTCTTTGCATCAATACACAAATAACCAGCACATAGGAGAAACTCAACAAAAGAGTTAAGTCAAGGGAGCCAGTATATATATTTGTTAATAGTCCAAGATGAACGAAAATGTCACAAGTTTCTCTCTTTATGTGCCGGTTATTTTTGTATTGCTGCAATCACGGTATTGTGCCTTTTTATTTTGTCTTGGATCAAGATTCCTTAACTAACATTCAGGCACCCCCTTCCATAACTGAAGATTAAAAGCTGCCTCCCATACATATTTACCAAGCACTTTTTTTTTTTTTTGTGACAACTGTTTTCTGGTCTCAGCTGTTCAAAGTTCTCGATGTTTTTACCCCTGGGGTTGAGAACCTTTTCCTTGGTAAGAGAATGAAGGGCGTAGATAAGGTAGACTAAATATTTGCAATTCATTGAATTTTGCCTGTTATTGTTATGATATACGTATATTAAAAATAAGTTTTGGTGTTGTAACGTATCTGATGATCATCTGAACTAATGTGTTTCTCTGGATGGCAGGATTTTCCACACATGGAAGGAGTGTGAAAGGCTCCTGGCTGATGGTCTGGTGGATGTCTATCCAGTCATCTCTCATCAACTTCCCATGACACAGTACCTACATGCTTTTGATTTGTTCATAACAGGTGGTGCCTGCAAGATTATCCTCGATCCCCAGAACTGACTCTATGGTTCCTACAGTGATATGTATATTCTTTACTATTATACCATCAGTATGTAAGTGATATTTTCAACCTGCAATACAGTTAATTTTATATGGTACTGTACTGTAGACCACAATAAGCTTAAAATTATATTCATGAAGCTCAAAGCCTCAAGGGGCAATGCAGCACCTACAGAATTGGAGGTAATTAATCTTATTCCACGAAAATGGTGTAGCTCCAATTCCTTGGATCAAGAGCCCTTCAGCAGGCCCTTGAAAGTCTAATTAAATGAACCATTACCATAATCAGAGTGGCCAGTGACAAAATTTCCACAAAGGAGACCTGGTTCAACTTGAAAGATAAGGAAATGCCTTTTGAATGCAACATACAGGGTTATAAACTATTCCACACTGATAGTATCAACAAGAAGGGTGGTGGAGTGGCGATGTAAGTCAGAGATAATTTAAATTATTGTGTTAGACATGATATAAGATTAGAAACATAGGACACAGAATCTGTTTGGCTACAGTTTACTGAGGGGTGTGAAAAATTAATTTTGGGTGCGATATATAGGCTGTTATGGGACGAAATTCATAAGGCATCTAGATATGAAAATGTTACGTTAATGGGAGATTTTAACTTTAGAGAAATTGATTGGAACAATTTGACAGGAAATTTTAAGTCTAGTGACTTTCTTGATACGGTTCAGGAATGCTTTTTAAATCAGTTTGTGACAGAACCAACTAGAGGACACAACCTGCTTGACTTGGTTCTTGCCAACAAAGAATCACTAATTAATAATCTTGAAGTATGATGAGCTTGGGGAGAGCGATCACAAATCACTTAGTTTCAATATATTATGGAATTACACAGCAAACTCAATCAAGTCTCTGTCCCAGACTTCTGCTTGGCCAGTTTCATGGGAATGACAAACTACCTGGTTGGGCTATATTGGGATGACCTGACTATGGTTGGCGCTCGGTGTGTGTCTTGGTTGCCAATATGACGTTTTTCAGGAGCATTAGTTCCAGCTCGCCTGACAGCTTGTGTTACGAGTAGGGAAATTAGACCTCGACTATAAAATTATCCCAAATTGATGATCACAATAGATCTTACACATATTCATTAGTCAAATGAGAGGGCATATATAGGCGTAGATCCTAAAGAGGGGCATGGGCAGTTTAAGAATTCAAATATTCAATCTAAGTGAGAATAAAAATTAGGAATAAGAAAAGCAAAAAAGGGATTTGTGTATGATCACAAGGATTACGTAATCGATAGACTAGCCCAAAAGGGGTTTCTTTCACGGTATAGAAGTAAGTTTAGGGAAAACGAAAAGATAGGGCCCACTAAACCACATAATAGGATAACTCAGGTCAGATCACGGTCAGTGATTAAGGATATATGTGAAATTTTCAAATTCATACATTCCTCTCTTTTTTCTCAGGACAGAAACTAGCCGATATATTCCAGAAAAAATAAGAATTATTTGAACAGGACGATAATCTCAAACTATGAACGCATTGGGGTAACTAGTGACATGGTCCTCACAGACATAATCAGCAATTAATAACTCCTAAACACAAATCCCAGGCCCTAATGAACTGTTGCAAAGGTGTGTTAAAGGGATTTGTTCAAAGAGGAACTTACGCAAACTTTTGGCTAATCTTTTCAACCACTATCACTACAACGTGGTATCTAGTGCCTGATGTGAAGCAATATAGCAATTGGAATACTATTTACAAGGCAGGTGGACAGGGCCGTTAGCGTCGAATGGAGGCTAGACCAATAAGCCTTAACCCCTATAGTGGGAAAATTTATGGACATGGAATAATTGCCGAGGCAATTCGTAGCTTCTTGAAAGGCATAAATTGATTAATGCAATCTCAACATGATTTTACCTATGGGGCATTCCTGGCTTACAAAATTTACTAATTTTTTTAATAAGGTGTTTGAGAATGTAGATCATGGTAATGATTAGGATATTGTGTATATGGACTTCAGTAAGGCTTTCGATAGAGTTCCACCACCAGCAGGCTATTGAAGGAAACTTAAGGCACACGCGAATAGGGAGATTTTTTTTTGCTGTGGGTAGAGGCTTGGTTGACAAATAGACAGCAGCCAGAGTTTGCATAAAGGGGAGAAATCAGATGGGGGCACGTCACAAGCGGTGTTCCTCAGGGGTCAGTGTTGGGCCTGGTTGTTGTTCACAATTTACATAAAAACAACATAGATGAGGGAATAAAATAGCGACATAAGCAAATTGCTGATTGACACCTAAACCATCAATAGGCCGTCCTATTCATTCAAATGAGGAAATTAGAGCATCCAGGATGATTTGAATAGACTGATGCAAAGGTCGGAGAAGTGGCAGAGCATTTTTAATTTTGGACAGGTAAATAACCTCCCACATATAAAAGTTTTTTTTTTAGGAAAAATTTTTTAGGAGTCGGGTTAGCAGAAAACAAAAACCTGGGAAACATTTTAAAAGTTTTCGCAATAAAGCATAAAAAATAGAAATCCCAGTTGTTTTTTCAACTCTATAATCCTTTGGTTGGGCCCCTCTTTTTGTAATGTGCACAGTTTTGTCACCGTATTGCAGAAGGATAAAATGCTTGGAAAAAACGTACAGGGGAAATGACAAAGAGACCCCATATTCGAAATTTCCCTATAGGAAAGATGGGGGGGGCCCAAATCTGCCTCTCTCAAAGGGGTTAAATTTGGGGAAAATGCTGAAAAATACCCGGGAAAAGCGGGACCGCAGCAATGGTTTTTCATTAAAAAGTTCAGATTCGGGGAGGATATAGGAAAGCAGGGGTTTGGAATAGAGTTGGGGATGAGTGGAAAAAACTCCCGAGTCCGTCATAGAAGCAAAAACGTTGTGTAATTTAAAAAAGGTTAGATAAATCATGAATGGGGTGGGGGGGTGTATTTGGGACCTGACTACTTGTGCTATGGGTCTTTGCGTGCCCCTTTCCCTTTAAATGGAAGTGACCTGACGGGGTGGGTAATTTTTTAAAAGCAGGGAATGACATGGCCCCCACGCAGGGGTCCTAGGCCTGTTGCAGTTTCCATCTTTCTTATTTCTACGTTCTTGTAATATTTCTGAATTTTACGACCACAATCCCTTGACTTTCATAAATACAATGAAATCAAACATTGCCCGGATGCTCTGGGGTGGGGACTCTCAGAATTCACCCTATGTATTAGCTATTACATCATTTAAAAGAATACTGTTCCTGTTGTTTGCTCTTTCGCGTCCATACATAAAAGTGAATAAATGACAGTTCTATTGAGACACTCTGTCTCTAAGAATTACTTAAAATAAAATTTAAACTACTATTTAAATTTCTGTTATATTTCTCATATGGTATTTTTTTTTTAATTTGATGTTACTGTATGTGAATATAGTAAGTTTTGTGTCAAGCTGGAATGTGATCGAGAGACTTGGCTGTCTAATTGCCTCCTCTCCCTCTATCCCTGACTACTCTCATTATATATTAGTGACGGAGCTGACGTGGAAGATCGAGAAAGTCGGGAAGTCTGGCCTGCGCTCTCCGGATCCAAAAAACCATTACGGTAGTGTGGCACAAATTTAAACTCTAGTCATCCATTACGTTGTGGTTTATGCGCTATACTTCACCATTACAATCAATCGTCTGTGACAACGTCCTGGGTGACTCACTGCTGTGAGGCTAGGGAGAGTGTGATGCTGAATAGTGGCTTGTAATGACATAACACTTTCTATATTTGATTCATCTATTAATTATTACATTGCAATTATCCTGTTACGCCTAGCTAAAATGGAAATTATCAGCTTTTTAAAATATTATAAATCAATAATTTTTTTATTTCTCATTATCATCTACTATGTATATATTTATATTGAAAAATTAGTTAGGAAATGGATTGTTCACTATGGGTGAGACCAGTTAATAATTGCCGTGGCTCTTGGCCTCTGCACTATTCACCTGACACAAGCTGCGATGTCAGGGGTGAATGGTGTGATTATTGGTACTGCAGTCCAAAGCCTCTCGCTGTCTCGAGAAGGTCTATTTTGGCGTTGTTCCTATATTCAAGTCAAGAAGTTATCTACCAGTAATGTATATTCTCCTGCTCTAAAAAAACTAGTTAATTGTATGACTCCTCTAAGCGTTTTATTAGACGATGCTATTAAGTTATAAAGGGACTTCTATCTATCATCGTTCAAATTACTGTCGTTATTCTTCATACAATGTCTCAGTTTGGAGAACGGTAAACTTTATCAGTTCTTCTGTGTAAGTGCCTAATCAGCTAGAATAGACATTAATGTAAACAGTGTATATAATTAAGATGTCTGTTAGGTGGTTGTATTTAATTGATAAATAAAAGACTACATTAACTACCTTTTACATGTTATTCATGACATCAATATAGCTATATTTAAGGACTTTTATTTCGAAGTTTTTTCATGTTTTCTTCACTTACATTAAACTTCTTATTACTTTTTTGTTAATGGCTATATTTTTTATGTATAATCTTATACGAATAAACCCATAGACGCAACCCACATACCCTACAACATTTCATAATAGCCTTCTTATTACGTACCAAGTAAATACATGGTGTGTCAGACCATGGTCGCTAGCAGAATAATGATGTTGACTTCAAGTATATACACTATGTACAATGTGCTAATTTAAACGAGGCGTACTTATTGATCATTTAACCCTAGCACCCAGTTAGTGGTTGGGAGGCAGTCTATATGGGGATGGGACATATGCCGAACTAAAAAAGTAACATAATCAAATAACCCGCCAGATTGAAGAGAGGAGCCTACGGACGACGTTGCGGTCCGACTTGGACCATTTTACAAAGTCACGCTAACGAGAGAAGTAAGACGGGTTCAGCCTCCCTCTCTCCCGCTCAGTGTCAGATGCCTTAGTCTTGACGTTGAGTACCCTCTTCACCAAGTCCCTCTTGATGTTGTCCTTGACATCTGGGGTCCAATGAAACTGCTTTTTCTGACTGGTAAGTTGAGGTTAGGGGGTTAAAACATCTGCAATGTTCTTACAAAACGTATGTAAAACCTGCACATCTATGAAAAACGCTAAGAGGGATTTCCTATCATCAGGTAATCCTGAGTATTACTCAGTGGCTCCAAAATTTAAGCAAATTAGGGGCTGTGTTACTTTCAAAGTCCTCTAGTAGTTGATGGTCAGGCCTCTGAATTTGGCAGGGAGGGATCAGTTCATCGACCATTCCCAAAATCTGCGTACAGAGCATTGACTGTGACCACGCCCTCCGCATACGAAGGCAGAGCTTTCATTCTTGGCTTTTATCTGTCATACGGTTACCCCTAATAGTAACCTTAGGGAAGTCTAGTTTCGTAGACGTAGGGACCTTTCCCAAGAGTCGCCACTACAACACCTAAAAGTGGCAGAGTAACGATTGACATTAATTTACCTTACGGTAGGTCTGTTACATCGCATCTTCGAAAACCTCCATCAAACTTTTTTAACAAGGGATGCACGGTGCAGTCACTCGGATGACTCCTCATCCACTAATCCGTGGTTCTAAGAGAAATGCTACCTCCTGTTGAAGTATCTTTTCGCTTTTTTTGGATTAGCTCTATATGGGGGAGAGTTTAATAGGTTTAGTGTTTCCAAACATTCTACATCATGGATATCCCACGAGGTACATCCGAACCTATGTCAGGGTAAGGTTTGTAAGAGGACAGTTAACTTATTACTTGCCGTCATTTTAGACAGCCCAACCATTAAGAAGAGTTTAGAGTCCTTAAGACTGGACAGAAAGTTTCACGCAAAGTTTCGCAACTCTGGATCTTCCTGAAATCGCGACATGCATGGATTGAAGGTCATCTACAGAAGCAG